ATGTTTCTCTCTCATCGATGTTTCTATCTCTCTCCCTTCCTCTCTGTAAAAAATTAATAAAATATATTTTTTAAAAATTTCTTAAAGTTGTAGGATTGAGGCCCTTAGCTGTGAGAGACCATTTTTCCAGGTGGGTCTCTCCAGAACATTTGCTTCTTCAAGGTCAGCATATTATTCCAGCATATTATCTATCAAGTCTAATATTTGAAAGATTTTGTATGGAATTAATACTGAAATATTGTTTAATACTTTTCTGTTGGGGTCCAACCCCAGCAGGTCCAGGGGTTCCCAAAGGTGTGGACAGAGTGGGCGAAGAAGGAATGACATGGAAACAGCATTCAGTTGATCAGCAGCCTAGCCAGGTTCTCTAGCCAGGATCTCCAACCAAGTTCTGTGTCTTATTGTCTTGTTAAATCTGTATTTATACCAGTTGATTTTAATCCTATCTATTCTATTCCAAAGGTTAGGGTGTTCCTTATCCCCATTCCAAGGTTACTCTATTGTTCTATCAAGCTACAAGGAAGTAACTGAAGGAGATTATCCTAAGTAAAGATTATGTAGTTTAAGCAAGATTGTTTGCAGTTAAAGTGATTAACTACCCGCTTGGCACTTACTTAAGGGGTTTTGCAGATTTATTCCCTTCCTTAGTCCTGTTAATCCCTAAATCCAGGGAAAAATCCTCACCTGGGGAAACAACCTTTCTCTGAGAGGTGGTACTGTTTAAAACACATGGCGCTGAGAGGGGGTAGCAAACATACACCATATACACCAGGTCCCTTGAAACATAAGCTGTACAGATGTTTATTCCCTACAGCGACTGTGTCAAGCAGCAAGGGGGGATCAGTTTCCGGTATATTCCCCCATTTTTTAAAAAAAATATATAATATTGATTATTTACAGAGAGGAAGGGAGAAGGATAAAGAGTCAGAAACAGCGATGAGAGAGAAACATCGATCAGCCGCCTCCTGCGCAGTCCCCACTGGGGATGTGCCCGCAACCAAGGTACATGCCCCTGACCAGAATTGAACCTGGGAACCTTCAGTCCACAGGCTGATGCTCTATCCACTGAGCCAAACCAGTCAGGGCAAATTCCCCCATTTTTATTTTTTAAATGACAGCGCATGTAAATCAGTGGCCACCTCTAGGATTGGGTTGTTTAAGACTCGGAACACTTGTTTGTGACTTTGCCAACAGGTCAGTCCCAGGCTTAACCCTATATTGGCTCCCCACAACTCATTTTTTTTGGTAACCAAAACTTTAATCCCAAGGATTCTCACAAAACATTACAAATGACAGCATGGAAAAATATTTTGCACAATAACTCAAAGTTCAGCTCTATAATGTACCCTTAAACTGGCAGGACACTGTTATCTTTAATAGTCTCAAACTTCCAAGTGAAGAATGTTACCAATAGTCATGTATTCATATATAGCAATCACTTAAATTTATGACCGAAAGCAAAGGTAAACTAACTTTCTTAAAACTTCTTAGATTCTACACTAACTGGACATCTGCTCAATGTAAAGACTACTTGGATTTTTTTAAACCTCTCATCTAGTTTAAGGGTGCAGCTTTAATTTTTAGCTGCTGGCTTGTGTTCACCGCAGCTTTTGAAGACTGCTTGTCCAACTACAGCTACATATTAGGTCACAGATTTGGAAAGTCTTACATCCAATTTTGCCAGTTTTGTTTCCACAATATTCCACATCACACTTTAGCTGGGCAGAAGTTAAGAGGTTTATTATCAGTCTACGCAAGACTGAAGTTCAAAGCAAATTCAATTTTGCTTAAGAGAACATTGTAAGGTAACAATTCTTGATATTACATGCCTCATATGATCCATTTCAAACCATAGAGAATTCCATCTTTTTTTTTTTTTTTTGAGTCTCGAAACGTTTATTGTCATCCAAATATTTCATACAAAAAGGGACATAGCAACTGGGTCAGGGTTTAAAAAAAAAATCCAAAAATGCAGGTTTGTAGACATTTCTCTTTTTACATCCGGGAGCGGGCTCTCCCCGCGTCACGCATCACGCACAGCAGCTGCACTTGTTGGAGGCTCCCTTGCAGACGCAGCCCTGGGCGCACTTAGCACAGCCCACGGGGCAGCAGGTGCAGCAGCTCTTCTTGCAGGAGGTGCATTTGCACTCTTTGCATTTGCAGGAGCCAGCACAGGTGCAGGAGCCACCAGTGGCGCAGGAGCAGTTGGGGTCCATTTCGATCAGCGGTGAGACTTGAGATCCAAAGCGAGAGAAGAAAGGGTACTCGTTCTGGTCCAATGCGTGGTCGAGAATTACATCTTTATGTGTCACTTTTCCAAACAAACAAATGTGAACAACTAAAACATCTTAAAAATGCACCAAGCTGCCCTAGCTAGTTTGGCTTAGTGGATAGAGCGTTGGCCTTTGGATTGAAAGGTCCCAGGTTCGATTCCAGTCAAGGGCATGTAACTTGGTTACGGGCACATCTCCAGTGGGAGGTGGGCAGGAGGCAGCTGATCGATGTTTCTCTCTCTCTCTCTCTCCTTCCCTTCCTCTCTGTAAAAAATCAATAAAATATATATTTTTTAAAATGCACCAAGCTTATGAAGTCTCAAACAACACTTGAATTTTCTGTACATACTCCTGTCAAATGAAGCTATATTTCCTGTACACCACTCATCTTGCAAACTGGTCTTCTATTTTTTCCTTTTTGACCTAGATCGGCTCCGAGACCTAGAGAAGGATCGAGACGGCTTATGATTTCTCTGCCGGGACAGTGATCTCTCTCTTCTCCTATCTCTGCAAAGGGATCTGCTCCGGCTACGGGAGAAGCTTCAGCGACTTGGAGATCTGCGGCAAGGTGGAGGACTCCTTCGACGATAATCATCTCCAGGGCGATGATCCCAAGAGGGAGGCGGGCCTCGATTTCGACTTCTCTTTTCACCATTGGACAGTTCCACTCTTACTCGGCAGCCACATAGTGATCTCCCATCTAGCTCTCGGACAGCATCGGCTGCATCTCGGGGATCTTCAAACTCCACGAAAGCAAAGCTGGGAGGGTTTCTAGCAACCCACACACTTCTGAGTGGCCCATAATAGCCAAAAGCCCGTTCCAATTCTCTCTTGTCACAGTTGTCCCCAAGATTTCCCACATAAACCTTACAATCCAATGGACAGGAAT